AATGTTTTTTGAGAGGCTATGACTTTTTTTCTTTTCTTCTGTTCTGTAGAAGAGGAAGGATTCAGCAATGTTTCAGTATTTAATGATACCTGTTTGAAATGGAAGAGACATTCTGGAAGAATTGGGGTGAAGGAAACCTACCTAGTGAGTGAGACATGTACTGTACTTTTTATTAATAGCTGAAGAGAAAAGTAAGGTTTGGGATTAAAGATTTTAGTGGAAGTTTTAATAATCCTAAAAAAAAAAAAAAAAAATTGCTGTGAAAAAAGTTAGTCATTTGACCTGATTTTTAAACAGCTGTGTGAGGCTCCTGAGTTTTTCTGAAGAACTTATTAAAAGTTTGTTTGGTTTATTTCTGTGATAGTTTCACATACAGGCACAACAGGGATACTGGGTGAAATCCTCCCATGAAATGATGATGAACTTCACCACTGAGGAGGAGAACCCAGAGGTGTGTTTGCCTCTACACCTGGGTGTAAACTACACTGTGACTATCACTGAGGCATCTACCAAGGTTCTTTTACAAATCCCCATAATGCTCCCAGCAATGAGTAAGTGCCGTTCTCCTGGACATTATCTCATGTTTCCTTGTACTCTTCCGTCTGTCGGTGTCCGTCTGGTGTTTATTGTCTTAGGCTATGTCTTCACTACCCGCCGATCCAGCGGGTAGCAATCGGTCTATCGGGGATCGACTTACCGCGTCTCGTGAGGACGCGGTAAAATCGATCCCTGATCGCTCTGCCGTCGACTCCGAAAATCCACCTCGGCAAGAGGCGGCAGCGGAGTCGGCGGCAGCGCGGCAGCAGTCGACTTTCCCCCGTCCTCACCGCCAGGTAAGCCTACCTAAAATACGCAACTTCAGCTACGGTATTCACGTAGCTGAAGTTGCGTATCTTAGGTCGGAACCCCGCTGTAGTGTAGACCTAGCCTTATACTTCAGTTGTAAACTCTTTGGGGGCAGAGACTGTCTTTTGTTCTGTGTTTGGACAGCACCTATCACAATGGAGTCCTGGTCCTGGGGCTCCTCGGTGCCATAATCATACAAATAAATTATAATAATAAGAGTAGTAGGTTAAGTTTCTAGTGCAGTGACTGTGCATAAGAACAGGCTTACTTGGTTTGACTTCTGACTATTCCAATGAGAGACATTTGAGGTTCGAAGAAGATAAGTAGAGGGGCAAATCTATGAGGCAATCAGTCTTAAATTGTCACATTAAGGGGGTAAGTTCCTCTCTTATTGCTCCTTCTCAAAACCATCAGAGTTACTGGAGATGTGCAGGGGCATTAAGAGGATATCTGATTGTCTTGTCTAAATTAGGGATAAATACGGTACGGTCTGTATTCAGGCAAAATGCCCATTGACTGCCGTGAGAGATTTGCTTGACAAAGTACTGGAAGATTTGTTCTTTTTGATTTGCGTTTTCTTTGGGGTATAAAACATCTTTTTACATGATATGCAAAATATCCTGTGAATTTACAGTGCAGTAGAAGCGTGACTGTTAATAACAACGCATCACTACGTCTATAGCCTTGTGGGAAGAAGGATGAAATGGATGCTTTAAAAAACAAACAAACAAGAATGAATGAATTAACCCAACCACAAGCACTGTTTCAAGTCTAGACATCACCCTATACACCTTCCTAAAGCGATTTCAAAAAGGTTATTTTCTTTAAGGTTTCATAAGCCTCTTTTTCCTTTTTGCAAATGTTCCTGGGAATGCACCATTTCCTAATCCAGTCTTCCTTTTTTATTGCCATATAATTTGTGTTAACCGATGCAGTCCTCATATTGTAGAGCTGCTTCATACACCAATTTAGAGATCTATAAACCAATCAGTCTTGTGAGATCAAGAATAGTCACTCTGCAGCTTGAAATCAGGGAGCATCTCTCTGGTGGGTGTCAGTAGTTATAGATCAGACACGTTTGTTCTTGCTTTCCAGCTTCTAGAGGACAGTGTTGTTACATGTACACCCACACGTTAGTGAAGTGCATTACCCTGAATACAGAGCACAGTATGCAAATTGCATACATACTGCACTAGCAGGAATGCTCAAGGCAGAGCTAGACTGCTTCCCAAAGCCAGTTCAGACTGGATTGGCCTCCAATATAAGAAGGATCAAGTCTGTATGGAGAATCCTAAAACAAGATACACCATGCTCATCGAAATGGTAAATGCCTAGATAGAAGTACTGTAGTGTCATCTTCTTCTTGTGAAATGAATAGACTTTAATGTCCTCTTTCAGGACTTTCCAGCCAGTGGAAGTGAAACTATCATACACTAAAAACCAAAACCTAACTGTTTGTTTTTGTTTTCATTATTCATGGCATTGTGTGTCAGATTGGTACTCGGCAAAATAATCTCTAGAGCTGTACTTGCTCCTTCACTTTGATCTCATATTCATAACTTCAGGAGTCTACAGAGTGGAATTAAAACATCCCTTCTATTTTTGCATGCCCTATTTTATCCCTTGTAAGAGGCACATCACAGAGCATATTAGAGAGAGTGAGGTGAATGGTACTTATAGCTTATTGTAAAGATAACAGCAAAAATTTCCCTTTGGTGTTTATTTTTCTGCGTGCAGAAGAGGAATTGCTCAGCAATGTGTCCATATTTAATGAAACCTGTGTGAAGTGGCAGAGAAAAGTTGCAAGAGCTGGGACAAAGGAAACATACACAGTAAGTGAGACACAATTTTTGTGTGTGTGTGAGGGGGAATTTTGGAACTAATCTGGGCAGCTGAACCGCTTTGAAGATTTGTTTAGCTGGGTTTGCTACAGTGTTGAATGAAGGGTAAATTGTTTTCTCTTTCTTTCCAGTAAGAACCATATAGCACTTTCAGTGAGGCTGGGTAAATGATTGAGGGGAAAAAATACATCCCCGTCATCAGGTTGGGTAAAGGGTTCACCAAACTTTGACTGAGGCCCTAATGCTTAAGCCCACCTCTGTTCAAATATGAAAAGCTACAGGGAAATTAACAGCAAATATAGTACCGTTAGATACTATAGCATTGGGAGAGAGTCGTTTGTTATATATTTTGTGTTGCAGAAGTGCCTAGAGGACCCAGTCATGGACCAGGGCCCCATTGTGCTAGGAGCTGTACAAACATATGGCAATAATTTTTTATCATTTTAGTAAGTGGGAAGAAATTAAGGCTCTGATTCAGGAAATTGTACATATTCAGCAGAGCACTTAGACGCATGCTTAAGTCCCATTGAAGTCACTGAGAGGCAAAGTGATTTGTCCAAGGTCACATAACAAATTTGTGGCAGAGCCAGGAACGGAGCCCATGTCTTCTAACTCCCAGTCCCCGGCTCTAAGCACCAGATCATATTTCCTGCCACACATGGATGTTGGGAACATTTGTTTTTAGCAATGAAGGAATATACTGAAACCTCACATCCAGTTCAGTAGATTAATCTAAAGAACCTGTTTTAGTGTGATGCATTTTATTTATGTGACTTTTTGAAAGGGCCTGTCTTTGGCTCTAGGTACTTCTGTAATATTTAAATATGCAAAAATGAGAATAAAATGTGAAATATAAAGGCATAGAAATGAATTGCCCAACCTGGATAATTTAAACTAATAATTTGATGATGATAATTCCCACATTCAGGCAATGGAGATATCCCAGTGAAAAAGTTGACTTTTATAGCATGTTCAGGTGGTTAAAAATTCCCATCTCTAACAGACCAGGGTGGAAATAAGTTCCAAAGTTGGGGACCATTCCTGGAAAATGACCTGCCACTATCCTCCTCTCTTATACACCACAAGAACCATTAGCTTGAGTGCATTTGTTGCTCACAACTGAGGTGGGGAAGAGGCAGTGTACAAAGTAGTCTTGCCTGAAATTACTAGGGTTTTACAGGTCAAAACCAATTCCTTAAACCTGTACTGAACAGGTAATAGGCAGTGAGTACAAACTAAAGACCACTGGGATAATGTGCTTCCTGCACTTAATTGAGTAGTTCCATTTTGCACTAAATTCAGCTTCCAAACAGCTTCATTTAGAGCACTTCTTAGTAGTTTAGTCTGAAGGTGACAAAGGCATAGTTAAGTGTAACAGTCTTGTCTATATTAAGTCTCCATCAGATCACACTCATCCATGCCCTAATCTCAAACCAACCCTGGCCATTCATTTCACTGCACCAGCCAGGTCAGATGAGATGGAAGCTTGGAGTTCACTGTTGTTCACGAACTGTGGATGCTTCTGTGGACCGTGGAGAAAAATATGCAAAAGTACAGGAAAATTAACAGCAGATCTAGTAGCATTCGCATTGGGGGAGAGTGACTTATTCTGATTTGTATTGCGGTAGTGCCTAGGACAAGTGCTAATTATTTTAATAATCGTTTTAGTAGGCGGGAACAAATTAAGGCTCTGATTGAGCCAACCATCTCTGCTCAGCAAAGCTCTTCAGTCCCATTAAAGCAGAGATAAGTAGGCTGCTGTGACTTAAATGAACCAGCATTCTGAATTGTAGAGCGCCACTGCTAATTTAATCATCTCTTTTTTTTTTTTTTTTTTTAAATCCCACAACAGTTTCGTATATTGGGACGAAGATGGCACCAGAAGGAATTCTCTCGTGAAATGATATTTAACTTCACAACAGGTGAAGAGACTCCAGAGGTGTGTTTAGAGCTGAACTCTGATGCTAACTACACGGTGAACATTACTACAGCATCCTCTAAGGGGACCTCAGCCCTAATTACTATAGCAATTAAGACAGAGGGTAGGTAATGATGCTTTGGAACCTTTATAACTCATAGAAGTAAGTCAGTGTGCGAGTCTCATTTCATTTTTTGGAGCCCGGAAGGTGGATCAGAAAACATTTTCTCTTGCTTTCACATACTTTGTACCTCTTAACCTCTTGAGGTCCAAATGTGAGATGCAAATGTTGGACGAAGACTAAAAATTAAAATGAAATGTGAATGGTCCAGGAAATTTAAAATTAAATGAGATTAAATCCATTAACAACAATCACACTCTTTACAACCTTGTGTTTCTGATGTAAATAATTACTATTGATCATACGTGGCGCTTATAAAACACCCTGTAACCAGGGGCATCAAAACACTTAGCAAACAATGAACAGATCTCCTAACTCCTTGCTTTGTGTTTTAATCACAGTATCATTCCTTTTCACCAAGAGACTGAAACAGGAAAATTTAGCCTGTTACATTAACACACCTAACTCTTGGAGAAATATTCATGGAAACCCAGAAGGCTTTAGTATTTGTAAGCTTCCAAGACTTTCTGCAGATGTGGGGCTTGTCTACATGATACAGTAGTCTACACCAGAGGAGAATAAATTATAGCACACACTAGTGTTCTGCACACTAACTAGCCCATGTGGACCCTGCTGGTGAGCACTAAGAGTTCCCTATGGACTAGATCAGCGCACGCTCAGGAACATTTTAGTGTGCGCAAACACACAGGCCAGTTAGTGCAGGACATGCTAGTGCACACGAGAATTTATACCTCTCTGTTGTGGACTAATGCACAACATAGACAAGCCCATAAAGAAACATACCTTGTGACCCCATTTGATCTTTAGAAAAGAGAAAATAAGGTGGAAACATTTTAACCTGTCAACTGTGTTACAAAGGCCATGTCTACACAGCAATAAAACCCCCAGGGCTGGCCCGGGTCAGCAGACTCAGGGTTGTGAGGGTGGAGGGTCCCAAAGCTTGGGTTCCATCTCAAGCCCGAATGTCCACACAGCAATTTTTAGACCCACTGCCCAAGCGTGTGAGCCTGAGTCAGCTGACCTGGGCCATGCCACGGGTCTTTTATCCCTGTGTAGATGTACCAAAGCTTTCTGGCCATGACCTTGTAGCTCAGAGCTTGGAACTTGTTTGCCATGTCAGCCTCCATCATATGACTATACCGATCAGAGTGCAAAAAAAGAAGTCAGGGTAAAATGTTGAATGTTTTTTGTTATTTTTAGCTGCATTTCACATCTTTCTCTCCCCATCAGCAGTCTTTTGAAGCTGCTCTGGAGAGAGCTGAAGCCTTTTAAAAATACCTGTTTGAACATCATGTTTTGTCTTGCTGCTGGAGACAGATGTCAGTGAGGACAGACTTGAGTGTTAGTGTTTAAACTGGTGAAAAAGGCCTTAATTTCATTAATGAAATAAGATAATCCCCAAAGGAAAGGAGTACAAGGCATCTGTCTTGAAAGGGAAGTGGGGGAATCATGGAATCTAGAAATGTAGGGCTGGAAGAGACCATGAAAGGTGATCAAATCCAGCCCACTGCACTGAGGCAGGACCAAGTAAACCTAGACCGTCCCTAACAGGTGTCTGTCCAACGTGTTCCTAAAAACCTCCGGTGACGGGGATTCCACAGCCACCCTCAGTAACCTATCCAGTGCTTAACTACCCTTATAGTTTAAAAGTTTTTCCTAATATCTAACTAAGTCTCCCTTGCTGAAGAATAAGCCCATTACTTCTTGCCCTACATTCAGTGGACATGGAGAACAATTGATCACAGTTCTTTTTATAACAGCCCTTAACATATTGGAAGACTGTTATCAGGCCCCCACCCCCAGTCTTGTTTTTGGGGAGATACTTTAATGAAGTTAATGGCCTCCTCTGAATTTCTGTCCTTACAATAATGAATTTTACCAGTCATTTATAGGATCTCCTGATCAGGCTTTCACTCCCAACAGGCTGCTATGCAAAGCTGTAGCCCTATCTCACCCTGAGGGAATGGGCATTCCCATAGGCTGACCCCTATCAGCGTGTGGACGGTGGATTGGTGCCAAGTCTATGAGACGGGGTCACACCCACAAGATCCCAGCCTTGCTTCTCCAACTGATTATAAACCTTTTTAGTGGCATGGGAGGGAAGTACTTGCAGTCAGGACCAAGCACCACAGATACCACTAGCTTTGTGCTTAACTGGTATTCCCACCCATTAGATCCCAGCCCAGTCAGTAAGTCCAAGAGGTGCAAGCCTTTGGGATGCAACAAGCCAATAAACCCATGTGTGATGGCCCTGAACTTTATCCTCACCGATGGAACCTTCAGCTCTTCTTCACAATTCTTCTTGGCCCTATCCACTGTGATTGGCTGCTTAGCTTCCCTCCAAACATGACAAAGGAAGAATTCAGTCCAGATGAGCCTGATGGCAGGAATAAATGCCTGAATTCAGACCAGTTGCCTTTCACCAGATCAGTCCAGCTGCAGTGTCTGATCAGATTTCAGTCTTCACAATGTTTACATCGAAATGCACTGTAATGACTGTGAAGCCTGTGAGAAAGGAACATGAGTTGATCATCTTTCATGCCTTCATGCCTAGATCAGCTGAGCCATGTTTTGTTCCATGGTAGTCGGAGTTGAAAACCATGGGTTTTTCCAACTGCATATTTGTATGCACAATGTTATGGTGCTGGAACCATATAGCAAGATATAAGGGTGCAGATGACATTGAAATACCTGTGAACCACATTGTTGGGGAAGAACAAGAGAGATGAAGGCAGACACAAGAGCCTTTAAAACAAAACTCAATAAGGAGGGGACACAAGCTTGCTTTTGGCATTGGGCATTGGAGCAAGGATTTCCTTTCAAGCTTAACATGGATCTGAAAGTTAGCTAGCTGCCATCTTCACAAGGCCTCAAGCTTGCTATCCAGGCATCTGGTAAGAGTAGAAGACTTAGCTGGCCAATATGGAAATATTTGATCCTGAAGTGCATAGTAAAGCCAGGTGCTGGTATTGAGTGACTCGAGTTGTGTCCACATGGAGAGGCAAGAGACGCTTCACTTGAGGGGCACCGTGGGTGGTAAACTTTGAAAGTAGTAATTGGACAGGATGTGTTACCTGACACCCTATGCCAGGGGATCCCAGAATGCGCTGACGTGTTTTTGAAAAACTGAGGTGCAAACGGAAACCATTAGGCAGGGGCTGAGGTCTTACAAGGGCAACAAGCAAGCGGGGAGTTGGCCCAGCAGACAGTTATCTAACTCTGTGGGATGCAAAGGAATCCATGTGGCCAAGAAGGTCCTTGACAGAGTTTATTACCCCGTTACCTTGTAAAGGGCAGCCATGATACTGGCTAGTGAGTGAAAGGCAGAGGGTGATGTTCATTCCTGAGTGCTGGGTGCACATACCCTTAATTGGCTTTTTGACCATGTAACCTTTGTCATGCTGTAGCGGGAGCTGTTCCATGGTTGATAGTATGGATGTTAGTCTAGCCCTCTAAAAGACCATCCTTTTATTCTCCCGGGTATTTCCCCCCCTCCAATCTCAAGGGGAAAAATAATTAAATGGACACTGGGATGGGAAAAATATTCCAGAAAAATAATACATTGAATGAGTCTCTGTGCAATCCAGAGTTCAAGCCATGTCTTGAGTGTTTCAGACACTGATGAAATGTGTACTGAAATCTAGGCCTCCAGAAGCGTCCATATACAACTGGACATCTGGGAAGAGTTAGGCCTCAAATGCCAAGATGAAATTCCTGTTGAACAACTACAAAAATGAGTCCCCAAAAGTCAAGGCTGCCCCAGTATAAATGTGGTGTTGTGGGTGTATGAACTCAGCTATGGGGATGCATCCCCCAGCAGAAAGACTAATCATAAGCTATTACCATGCCCACAAACCTGAAAGTTTCAAAGGCTACGTGTGAAACTGAGTACGGCCATATCCTAATACCATACAGACTAAAAGGAGAAGCCAAGCATCTCAAATCCCTTGGGATACAGTGGGGGCAGGCAGAAAGCTGACTTGCTGTAACTTTTAGGTGAGCAGCAGAACCATCTCATAATATTCAGGATCAGTTAGATAATACTTGTATTGTGCCTTCCATCTGAGAATCTCAAAGTGCTTTACAGACATTAACCAACTAGTACAATGCCTGCGAGGTGAGCAGCATTCGTTCCAATTTCAGAGGGGGAAACTGAGACACTGAGCAAATAAATGACTCGAGTCAGTGGCAAAGCTGGGAATAGAGAATCCATGTCTACTTAGTCCTTTGTCCTTTCTCTCCCGATTATCTGTTTGGGTCTGAGAGGTACAGTATAACCTGACCTTCCCCCTGGAGCTTTTAGGGTGATGGTTTCTAGTAGGGAGGTTGGTGTGGAAAAGGAGAGAACTGACAAAATGAACAATGACTAATTCCTACTGGATTTTAGCTTTTTAGCACCATGGTGTTGAGGTATGTGGCCTGCAAGTAACTCCTATGACTTTTGTAAGATGACCTCAATCCACCTAGAAAGCCTACATGTCTTCTGGTTGGGTTAAATCCATTAGCATTTCCAAGAGAACTAGAAGAATTAATTTTTTAGAATAATTAGTCAGAATAGGATCCCTTCCCCTTGAAATGCTCAGATCTAGCATCCCACCAGTAATAGTGAACTCAGAAAAGTTTCCTGGGAGCACATTCTCTTGTGCTCTCACCTGCCCTTGGTGGACTCAGGAGTGTACTTACAGCTGTGATAAGTGCCAGTGCCTTTCTGAAAGCCGCAGCAAACCTGCTTCTCTTCAGGTTTGGGCTCTGATTTAGGCAGGACTGGTACCGGGAGACCAATTGGCATAATTTCAATCTGTGGCTGAGAGCTCGTTGGTTTCCATGTCCTGCACTGATTGTGTGGCTGCCTGCTTATGGAAGTGCTCTTTGCTGCTCAACCATATACAATGCTGTAGTGAGATGATCATTGCTGATAATATCCTTATATTTAATGAGGGATGAGCTGTTCTCTGGCGGCTGTTCATCAGTCCTGGGGAGGAGGGGAAGTGGTGTTCTAAAGGCAGATACCCAATTTGTGATGCTTTGACCTCATTAAACATTTAGCTTGTCTGCTGCTCTGTTTCTAGGGAGGTTGCACTCAACCATCTTTAGCAGCGTGGTGGGGGGAGGAGCCTCATGTATTTTCCCTCCTGCACGTTTTCTCAGGTCTGGGATAGGTGGTTATGCAGTGGCTTCTCTCTATCAGCAGTTGGGGACACTGTGGAATTAGATTGTTCTTTGTCCCACGCAGCTAACCAGTGTGGTGAAAGATGTAACAGAAGCTTCTGAGGGTGTAGCAGGAATGGCAGAAATACCTTGTGTGGTACTTGAACATCAAGAAATTTGTGTATACCCACACATTGTTGCCATATTTTTAAGCTGCCTGGCTTAAGTAATCAAAAGGGAGATACAGAAGGACCTCAGAGTTATGAACACCAGAGTTACGAACTGACCAGTCAACCACACACCTCATTTGCAACTGCAAGTTTGCAATCAGGCAGCAGCAGAAGAAAAAAAAAGCAAATATAGTACAGTACTGTGTTAAGCGTAAACTACTAAAAAAATGAAGGGAAAGTTTAAAAAAAAATCGACAAGGTAAGGAAACTGTTTCTGTGCTTGTTTCATTTATATTAAAATGGTTAAAAGCAGCTATTTTCTTCTGCATAGTAAAGTTTCAAAGCTGTATTAAGTTATTGTTCAGTTGTAAACTTTTGAAAGAACAACCATAATGTTTTGTTCAGAGTTATGAACCACCTCTATTTCCGAGATGTTCCTAACTCTGAGGTTCTACTGTAACTGACGTTGTTCCCTTAACTCACGTCTGTATGCTTAAGAATTGCAACAGTGCATCTTTTTTTTTCATAGTGTATGTGCTGCAATGGCTAAGGATACTGTATCGGAATTTCTTAGCCCTTGTTTGTCCAAATGGTACCCTCAGAAATCTAAGTTTTTTTGAGTGTGACTGTGAATTAATGAATATTTAAAATACCTTACAGATAAGCTGATACTCCATGAGCTAAGTGTTTTTGAGCTATTGTTTTGAGTAATGTAACCTATATGAATAGTACTATTCTTTCAGTGGTAGGTCTTAGTTCCTAAACAAAACTGTTGTGCATGTTGTTTTTGGATCATCAAAGCCTGAAACATTTGATGTTTAATATTTTGTTTATTCACTGAAAGGAAGAGGCTTTTTTGGAATATAAGTAGTTCGAGGAATCCCTGCCCCCAACCCCACATTTTATGAAAAATGGGGGTACAGCCAGATTTTCAAAATTGCTTATCACCCATCAGCTCTCACTTAAGCACTTACACAAGTGACCAGGTTTTCAAGATGTGGGAATACTGGATATAGCTGGTTACTGAGCACTTTTGAAAATATGACCCCACTTGTGGGTGATGATCAGTCTTGAAAATCTGGCTCATAATGTTTGTCATCTGCATTAGTGGTGCAAAGAGTTGAGATGAGCTGAAAGCAAAATACCCAGTATCTACCGAATTGCTCCTCTGGGAAGGTATCTCCAACAATCAATGCACTTGTACCACAGCAACAGCCAATTGGCACTTTCAGCTCTGCAGTAACACACATTGAATTTATCACTGTCAATAGCGATTCCTTTTGGAAATGCCACAAAACCCCTGGTGTAATTTGACAAGAAGCCAGGTACCCATCCTTCCCTCCTACTGGTTTGATGAGAACTGCTTCTATTGTCTGTGTCTTTTTGGCCCATATGTAGCAGGGAGCAGGTTTTGAAACAGAAATATTTGGCTTGTGATATATGCTATTTCCCCAAAGCTGTCGCTTACCACTATTATTTTGATTGTAAAAGGAGAGAGACAAGTCACCCTTCTAAAACTATGCCCTCTCCTAGACCTTAGGCAACTGAAGTTTACCTTAATTTGTGGAGAGGCTTTAAAATTCCTTTTAATACTACATTTGGGTTTTTTTAAAACCATAAGTTCATTTAAAAATATTATACCCGATTTACAATATTTGGGCACTCAGAAAGGAATGAGGTTCCACTCCCTCCTAACAACCCTGGATCCTCTAAAGTAAAAACAGACTCAGACTTTGTCATTTTAAGCCAATCATGATCAATAATGTTACAGGAAGGTCTTTTAAATGTTTTTAGTTCTGAGGCTTCCCCCTTTCTCACTCTCTCTGCAGTAAAGGAAGCCTTCAGTAATCTGCTGATACTTAATGACACCTGCTTGAAATGGAGGCGAAGAGTAAGGAGAGCTGGTAGGAAGGAAATCTATTCGGTAAGTGATACATATTTTGAATGTTTTATTTAAAAAAAATTAAAATCAAGCAAATATTGGCAAACCAGAGTCTTCATACATTGTTGCTTTTCGGGTCTCCACTCTTCTTGCATGGCATTGAGCCACAGTAACAGGGGAACCTAGCATGCGGCATCATAAGAAAACTAAAAGGGCCAGTGGATCATTGTTTGAAAAAGAATACCCACAACCATGCTTTTTGTTGTTTCTTGCTCACCTCTGTTTCGTGCTTGTTGTTTGTTTCTTCCTTTCTGCTGCTCTGTTCCTCTCCAGCCTTCAGCAATTTCTCGTTCTTTACACAAACTCAAACAGGCCAATGTGCCTTGCCGTGTACTCTCAGTGATCCCCTCACCCCGCTGTGAACCCTCCACTGAGGCTGTCTGTGGTGGGCCCAAGACTGGCTGCTCTTATCTAAAGTTTCCACAGTTAGAGATTATCCAGCGTTTATTGCATCCCCCTAGCTGAGGGACAGCCTGTAAGATTTAAACAGAGAGTGCAGTCTATTTTTTTCTTACTCAAATAACTGAGACTAGATAGGTGTGAAATTGTTTGTTTTGAGTTACTAACATTATGACTATTTGGCACCAGAGCAGTGGAAAATATGCATGACTACAAGTGTACATACAAGCCCAGCTGTCTGTAACTTGGTCCTGAGAGGGACTGGGCATTCTCATTTCATGTGGATATAGCATACTTGGACTTTCAGAAAGCCTTTGACAAGGTCCCTCACCAAAGGCTCTTACGCAAACTAGGCAGGCATGAGATAAGAGGGAAGGTCCTCTCGTGGATCAGTATCTGGTTAAAAGGCAGGAAACAAAGAGTAGGAATAAATGGCCAATTTTCAGAAGAGAGAGAGGTAGATAGCGGTGTCCCCCAGGGGTCTGTACTCGGACCAGTGCTGTTCAACATATTCATAAATGATCTGGAAAAAGAGTGAAGTGGCAAAATTTGCCGACAATACAAAATTACTCAAGATAGTTCAGTCCAAAGCAAACTGCGAAGAATTACAAAGGGATCTCGCAAAACTGGGTGACTGGGCAACAAAATCGCAGATGAAATTCAATGTTGATAAATACAAAGTAATGCCAATTGGAAAACATAATCCCAACTACACATCCAAAAAAAGTGTGTTCAAATTGGCTATTACCACTCTGGAATCATTGTAGATAGTTCTCTGAAAAAATCCATTCAGTGTGCACTGGCAGTCAAAAAAGCTAACCATTTTAGGAACCATTAGGAAAGGGTTAGATAATAAAACAAAATATCATAATGCTTCTGTATAAATCCATGGTATGCCCACACCTTGAATACTACATGCAGTTCTGATCGCTCCATCTAAAAAAGGATATATTAGAATTGGAAAAGGTACAGAGAAGGGCAACAAACATGATTAAGGGTATGGAACAGCTTCCGTATGAGGAGAGATTAAAAAGACTGGGACTTTTCTGCTTAGGATATGATAGAGGTCTATAAAATCTTGACTGGTGTGGAGAAAGTGAATAAGGAAGTGTTATTTACTCCTTCTCACAACACAAGAACCATGCATCACCAAATGAAATTAACAGGCAACAGGTTTAAAACAAACAAAAGGAAGTACTTCTTCACAGAATTCACAGTCAACCTGTGGAACTTGTTTCCAGGGGATGTTGTGAAGGCACAGAGTTCAAAAGAAAATTCGATTGGTTCCTCAAGGATAGGTCAGTCAATGGCTATTAGCCAAGGCGGTCAGGGGTGCAGCCACGTGATTTGAGTGTCCCTAGCCTCTGATTGTCAAAAGCTGGGAGGGGACAATGGGATGGATCACTCGACAATTGCCTGTTCTGTTCATTCACTCCGAAGCACCTGGCATTGGCCACTGCCAGACGACAGGATAGTGGGCTAGATGGACCATTGGTCTGACCCAGTAAGGCTGTTCTTATGTTGACTTCAGTAGGATTTGATAGTAATGAACACCTCTCCGGATCAAGTGATAACTGCACAGCATGCAAGTGGGTTCACTTTTGTAAATGTACTGTTTCCGCAATGAAGATACATGAGTAGGCTGCTGGTTCCTGTTAGCTGGCAAACTAGCAGTTTTGGGGCTGGGGTGTGTTTACCAAAAAAAAAAAAAGGGGGGGTGGGGGGAGAAACGAAGTGCAAGAACTAGCTTTAGGGTAGTGCTGTTAAAGTTTATCCACAAGCATGCTGTGTCTTCCTTCATAAAACCTGGAAATGTTTTGATTATAGTAACGCTCAACAAATTTAATACAGTCCGTTTGTATGCACATGTAGATTTTCAACAAGGATATGGTAAATTACTTTTCCATAAGATTTATGATAAATGGTTTAGTTAGAGTATCCCACAAATTGAACCCACGTGAAGTGTCAAAGCCTTCCATTTTCAGCACTGTGATTGTTTCATTAGTTTCACATACAGGGTCAACGCTGGTATCAGAAGGAGTTCTTTCATGAAATGGCCTTTAACCTCACCGCTTACGGACAGACTCCAGAGGTGTGTCTTGATTTGCGCCCAGGCACCAATTACACTGTGAATATTTCCATGGCAGCTTTGGATCTTTCTGTGCTAGTTTCCATGACAACTCCAATTATTGGTACGTCCTGCTTTTTTTCTTTTTAACAAGATGACCACTTGAGTGTGAGTGCTTAGCCTCAATGGCAATATTGTCAACTGACTTGAACTTAGTGTCTCAGTGTGGATTGTTGAAAAACTCCTGTCTTGTGCTCAAAAACTGTAATCTAATTGTTACAGATTTCATGCTGTTTCTTGTTGAGTCAGCAAATCCCAAAGCATGGGGACAATGGCTGTCATGTGTTTTTAAATGTTACTTCAGCATCACAGGGTAACTGGAGAGGAAGGATGGGACAGTGATTGGGATTCTAGCCTGGAACTCTGAAGACCTAGTTCAATCCCCTGCTCTGCCAAAGACTTCCTGTATGACCTTGGGCAAGTCACTTAGTCTCTGTGTGCCTCACTTCACCATCTGTACAATGGGGATAATGGCACTGCCCTACCTCACAGAGGTTGAAAGATTTTGAAGTACTCAGATACTATGGTAATGAGGGCCCTATGAGTACCATAGACTGATATCGCTACCGATGGTGATATTAAAAGGTATTCCAGCAAAAAGGCACTGTTGGCAGAGGAGGAGAAAGAGCATGTTATGCTTCGTGTTTTAATTGTAATTTGCTTCCAGAATTTTTTTTTCCATAAAGAAAACTGCACTAATAAAAATCTGCAGCCTTTGAGCTCATTTTGATTCCAGTTAAACTGGTTTAAATTAGGACACTTTTGTACCGTTCCTATGCTGAAAAGCTTCTGGGTTAGATTAAGAAAAACAACAACAAAGTGAACAGGAGTACTTGTGGCACCTTAGAGACTAACAAATTTATTAGAGCATAAGCTTTCGTGGGCTACAGCCCACTTCTTCGGATGCATATAGAATGGAACATATATTGAGGAGATATATATACACACATTCAGAGAGCATGAACAGGTGGGAGTTGTCTTACCAACTCTGAGAGGCCAATTAAGTAAGAGAAAAAAAACTTTTGAAGTGATAATCAAGATAGCCCAGTACAGACAGTTTGATAAGAAGTGTGAGAATACTTACAAGGGGCTGTACTGGGCTATCTTGATTATCACTTCAAAAGTTTTTTTTTCTCTCTTACTTAATTGGCCTCTGAGTTGGTAAGACAACTCCCACCTGTTCATGCTCTCTGGATGTGTGTATATATATCTCCTCAATATATGTTCCATTCTATATGCATCCGAAGAAGTGGGCTGTAGCCCACGAAAGCTTATGCTCTAATAAATTTGTTAGTCTCTAAGGTGCCACAAGTACTCCTGTTCTTTTTGCGGATACAGACTAACACGGCTGCTACTCTGAAACAACAAAGTGAAACACTAGCTTTGGTGTTGGCAGCAGACAGATGAAACCTAGCAACCTCTTTGAATTTTGTAACTGTGTTCGGCCACTAGGTGCAGCTGTTTATCTGCTGGATACCCAATGAAGAACTAGGGAGCTGTTTATGTGGTATTTTCCAAATCATGAATACTTCAGTACTTTTTTAATAGTAAATCTTAGCTTTTAAGACATCATAGAAGGGGGGGGAAATCTCTTCCTTGTGTGTGAAAGTTATTGTGTAGGGCACACAGTGTTCTGGATCACTTTAGTGATGAACAGCAATTATTGGATGATTTTTGCTTGAAAATTGCCTAGCTGTCATTCAAAAGTAGTGAATTGTTGTATCTGTTCATGTGTCTTGTTAGAACAAAGCATGTCCCGGAATTTGATTGATTGAGATGCTTTTGAATACCCACAGTTATAACCTGTAGGCATTCCACTTTACATTGTCATCCTGCAAGAGTTCATTACTTGTGCAGACGATCTGTACAGAATACTTTCTAGCAGGTGCTGCATGAAGTGGGGTTGATGATTTGGTACCTGGTATGTTTCTCTTTGAGCTGAGTTAGTACTGAATGAACGCACCAGCATAGTCCTGGGCGAGGTATCTGTAGAGCCCTGCGTGGATACAAATTTATATCCTTGGATGCAGATATACATGTGTATCCACACAGGGCTGTAGGTATTTGGTGGAGAGGCACAAACATTTGGTCATGTCTGCTTATCAAGTAAGATCTCATTAAAAGGCCCATTTTACTTTTTTATAAGAGTAATGGGGTTTGAGTCACTTTTGATTTAGCTCCCACATTTAAATTTTACAAAATTACACAATTTAGGATTAATAAAACTTTCCATTTTATTTTTTTTTTTAAATTCCAAGAAAAACAGTGTTTGGTATGGATTTCAGCTTTCTCCACCAGTGTTTGCAACCCCAATATTGCAACATTGTGCTTGTTAATGACAGCTAGTAAGTGAAACTGACCAGTCTGTTTTGTAATCCATGGGCAGTGAAATGCAAAAAGAAAACCAAGACAATTAATGATGAAAACTAAATTAGATTTTTAACATTCTTTCCATGTTAATAATCTTAGCTGCTGTAGTACCAGTGAAGAAGCATTTAAAGTAACTCGCCTAACAATGAGCTTTTAACTTCTGTGCCATGCCTCTGAAATTATATTCTTCCTACCTAAATCCCTCCTGCGGTTTATTTAGGATATAGTATTCTTTACTTCCTGTCTTGCACTGCTGTGAGCTGCTGAATCAGGGCTGGTCTACACTACAGGGCAGGGATTGATCCAGGTTATGCAACTTCAGCTACATGAATAACGTAGCTGAAGTCAATGTACTTAGATCTACTTACTGCGGTGTGTCTACAGAAGACGCTCTCCCATCAATTTCCCTTGCACGTTTCGTTGAGGTGGAGTACCGGAGCTGACGCTAGAGCGATCGGCGGTCGATTATACTAGACACGATAAATCGACTCCCGCTGGATCGATCGCTGCCTGTCGATCCGGACGGTAGTGTAGACAAGCCCTCAGATGGCTGTACTTTGGTGGTGGTGGAGTTCTCCTAATTTATATGCCGGTTTAAGCTTGTTAAAGTGCTTTGTGGCCCTTTGGGATCAAAAGTCCTATGTAAATGTAAAATACCTCAGAAGATCTAATGCTGTAAGGAAGCTGAAAGACTGAAACAAATGTTTTACTGTGGATGTACTGTAACTGGCCTAACCTTTGTTATCGGGTGATGTAGCTGCTTGAGGTTTCATGCTGATTTCTTTGGGGGAAGAGTAAGGAGGTATGGCCCTCAATTTACCCACAGTTAACAAATGTTCCTGGTGAGTCATGGATTTACATTTCAGAACATAGGATCACATCTTCAGCTGGTGTAAATTCCCATACCTCATTAATTTCAATAGAGCTACTCCAGTTTACTGCAGTTGAGGACCAGGCCCATAGATTCTGTAATGCTAGAGGCCCTCTAATAGGTCATTCCATGGTGACCATATTCCTCTATGGAGGAAATTAATAAGGTTAGAGAGCGTATTTAGTGTGAACCTATGCCGTACAGTCACATGTTAGTGAAAGGTTGCTTTGTGCTAAGACAGAAAAAAGAGAGAGAATCTACAGCGTTCATAAATGTCTGTCAGGAAACCTACCTTTGCTTCAGATATCCTGAATGGGATGATACATTATGCCGATAATGGGATGTGTGTCTACACAAAAAATGGAATTCAGCAGCTTGCTACTTTCCTTACCGTAGACAGCCTGGCAAGCAGATTCCTTTTAAAATAAGTCTGTGATCAGCATGTTATTGTTCTCGTCACCTGGCCAGTAAAGATTCTCTATTGAGAGCTTCATAGAGCACTGAAATTCTGTTCCTTTCATATTCCCAGCAGTATCCTTCTTAGGCTGCCTTTTCTGCCGGCTTGCATAAGAGTTTTTACCATGTGCTCACGTGAGATGGGAGCTCGAGTCATGAAAAATGGTTGGGCAATCATTGCCCAATCGCTATTAAAAGACTGGTGATGTGAGCTTTCTGTGTTTTGGCAGGAAGGACAGTTTGTGTCTGTTTCTCCTGCTCCCTTCCATCGCATCCCTAAAAAAAAAAAAAAAAAAAGGCTGTTAAGGTTGTACTGTCTCTGATTCATTATTTCTCTGTCTGGGTTACTGATTGTTGTAGTCCCAAGTGTGCTCTTCCCTTTTATAGATCATTCGTGAAGAAGATATCCTAGGTAAAGCATTGTCGCTGACTATTTCTGAATTTAAGAAATGTCTTTTTTTATAAACACTCACTGCCATTTGAGAAATGGCTAGGGAGAATTTAAGAAATACTGGTCTTAAATGAATAAGCCACAGCAAGGATATGCGTCATAGAAGATTAGGGTTGGAAGAGACCTCAGGAGGACATCTAGTCCCACCCCCTGCTCAAAGCAGGACTAACCCCAGCTAAATCATCCCAGCCAGGACTTTGTCAAGACGGGCCTTAAAAACCTCTAAGAATGGAGATTCCACCACCTCCCTAGGTAACCCATTCCAGTGCTTCACCACCCTGCTAGTGAAATACTTTTTCCTAATATCCAACCAAGACCTCCCCCATTGCAACTTGAGACCATTGCTTCTTGTTCTGTCATCTGCAACCACTGAGAACAGCCTAGCTCCATCCTTTTTGGAACCCCCCTTCAGGTAGTTGAAGGCTGCTATCAAATCCCACCTCACTCTTCTCTTCTGCAGACTAAATAATCCCAGTTCCCTCAGCCTCTCCTCATAAGTCATGTGCCCCAGCCCCCTAATCATTTTCATTGCCCTCCACTGGACTCTCTTCAGTTTGTCCACATCCTTTCTGTAGTGGGGAGCCCAAAACTGGACGCAGAACTCCAGATGTGGCCTCACCAGTGCCAAATAGAGGGGAATAATCACTTCCCTTGATCTGCTGGCAGTGCTCCAACTAATGCAGCCCAATATGCCATTAGCCTTCTTGGCACAAGGGCACGCTGCTGACTCATATCCAGCTTCTCGTCCACTAATCCCCAGGTCCTTTTCTGCAGAACTGCTGCTTAGCCAGTCGGTCCCCAGCCTGTCCTTGTTGAACCTCATCAGATTTCTTTTGGCCCAATCCTCCAATTTGTCTAGATCACTCTGGACCCTATCCCTACCCTCCAGTGTATCTACCTTTCCCCCTAGCTTAGT